CAAAAAAAAAAAAAAAAAAAAAAAAAAAAGAAGTGGTTAAGATGGCAAATTTTACAGGCCGGGTGTGGTGGCTTACGCCTCTAATCCCAGCCCTTTGGGAGGCTGGGGCCGGCGGACCACGAGATCAAAAGTTTGAGACCAGCCTGACCAACATAGTGAAACCCTGTCTCTACTAAAAATACAAAAAATTAGCCAGGCGTGGTGGGGGCGCCTGTAATCCCAGCTGCTCAGGAGGCTGGGGCAGGAGAATTGCTTGAACCCAGGAGGTGGAGGTTGCAGTGAGCTGAGATCATGCCATTACCCTCCAGCCTGGGCAATAAGAGTGAGGCTCCATCTAAAAAAAAAAAAAAAGAAAAAAAAAGAAAAAGAAAAAAGATGGTAAATTTTATGTTATTATTTTTTTCTTTTTCTTCTCAGCTGCCTGGGTCTCCCAAAGTGCTGGGATTTAGAGGTGTGAGCCACTGCGCCCGGCCATGTTATGTATTTTTTAACCACAATTTTTAAAACATGTAAAGCAGCTTGAACAGCAAGGTGATCCAAACAATATTTTTGTTTGGCAAGTGCAAATTTTAGTTCATACATCTAATATGTTACCAAATTAGAATAATATCTTTAAGACTGGAATTTATTCTTTGTGTTGGTTTGAGTCCTCCAAACCAAGATAAAATTAGACATGAAGAGATCTCTTTCTTGGGGAAAGCGTCTGTGATGGACAAAGGAGAGGAAGCTGGAGTAGACAAGGACAGCCTCCCACTGTGATGACATCTGGGAGAGGACGGAGGGAGGGCAAGGGAGCAGGCTTCCCAGATCAAAGCACAGCGCTAACAAAGTTCCAGCCAGCCTGATGGGGAGTCTTTGAGTCCATGATGCCAATTAGGCCAGGTACAGTGGCTAATGCCTGTGATCCCAACACTTTGAGAGGCTGAGGCAGGAGGATCTCTGAAGGGTAAAGTTCCAGACTAACATGGGCAACATAGCGAGACCTCCATTTCTACAGAAAAACAAAAACAAAACAAAACAAAAGAACAGAGGGAGAAAGAAAAAAAAAATTAGCCAGGCATAGTGGCATGCCTCTGTAGTCCCAGCTACTCCAGAAGCTGAGGTGGGAGGATCGATTGAGCCCAGGAGTTCAAGGCTGCAGTGAGCTATGAATGTGCCACGGCACTGCACTCCAGCCTGGGCAGCAGAGTGTGACCCTGTCTCAAAAAAGTAAAAATAAACTCCCCCTTCCAAAAAAACAAAAACAAAAACAAAAATAAAAAAAAAGTTTCCAATTAGATGCGTCCCCTGGGGCCATTTCTCTCTCCACACAAAATAGATGACCAGCCGCAAGACCACTTACAACTCTGCCAGTTGGGAAGATTTCCTTCTCCGCTGTCTTTCACTACCTTTTGTGAAGTGGTTGTAATGTAGCCACTATCCATTTTTGGCTTCCAAGCCAGCCCATCTGTAAACTGAGCTCAAGGCTTTGCCTTCTCTTCCAGGTGGTCATGAACTCCCTAAGCCCCTGCAAATATAGTCATACATTTGAGCTGGGGGAGGGATCCTGGTGCAAATGTGGTGGGTGCCACGTTGGTCTGGGCTACCTGCTCATGCAGCTTACTCATGCTGTCTGGTCTTGCTGAGGCCCAGCCCTGGATTAGCCATTTCCAGGACTGAGGCTGGGCCTGTCCTGCTTAATAACTCAGTGGGTCCAGCGGAACCCAGCGGGTAGACGGCAGGACTGGATGCATGGTCACTTGGTACCCCATATATTCAGCGTTCTGTCTCTACCAGGTTATAGTAACAGGCCAGGAGTTATTTCTCAAAAGACATATAATTCTCTGCTGTGGATTGTATGGTCTTGTTTCAGAATCCTGGGTCCTTTGTTGTGATTCTCCTGCTGGGTCTTGCTTTAAGATTCCTGCTGCATCTTTTTTCACCACGGATACCCCCAATGCCATAGAGTCTATTGTATCACACAGCCCAGTTGGCAGGGTTGTTTGCATCATAGCCTCTCAACTTGCTACAGAGCCCTTTCTTGCTCTGGGTACACTTGGAGCTGGCACCTTTTTATGTCACCTGGGGATAGCATCCATTTGTGTCACCTTGAATATGGACACATTAAGTATTCCTAAATGTGGTCTGCATTGTCCCTAGAACCTAAAGAGGCCTGCCGCCAGAGAGAAGGTGGTAGGGCTCCAGCTCTCTGCTGCCATCTCCAGTAGTTCTACTCTGGCCCCAACCTTGTGCACCCTGAGCAGCAAAACAAAAACCCTCCCTCAGATCTAGGGAGTGCCTGTCAGTGCTAATGCATGCCCCTTGCAGGGGAAGGTGGCTGACACGCACCCCAAGCACTTTATCACATCTTACTTTCTAAGCACATCTAGAGCTCACCCTCCCTAGAAGAAGTCTCCCCGTCTTGCCCTCTGTCCTCTTTTATCCCGATGGGGAGCAGAGAGCTCCTGTGTTGCCTCCCTGATCCTTTCCATGTCTCACATCAGGGTAGAAGTTAACAGCACGGACTTTGGGTTCCATCTGAGCTTGATTCCATTCTTGAGTGGAATGGAACCTAAGTTACTCCATTCCTTGGTTTTCTGATCTATAAGATGACAGCAATAATACCAATTGTACCAGATTGTTTTGAGGACTTAAGGAGATGACTACGATGCACAGTGTGACGCATGATGTTGCTGTCTGCACCCCAGGTTCCAGCGGCTTGTTTAGAGGCTGTTTCACTCATTTAATTGGAAGCTCCTTGAGGATCAGAATGGTCTTTTGCAGACATTCCCCCTAGGATACTAAGGACACAGTAGATATTCAGAAACTATTTAGGGATGTCTCTTGAATGTATACCCATTTTTATCAGCCACGTTTTTTCCTTCCAGAAATGCAGGATGTTAATATCTGAGAGGAGCTGCTGTTAGCATGTAGGAAGCCCCAGGTGGTGAACAGAGCAGGGGCCTCCCGGTGGGACAGGGGAAAAAGGACACTGATAAATCGTGTTAATTTTCTGGGTCCCAGTTTCTTTATTGGGAGAATGGAGAGAGTGATAGATACCATTATAAGGTTGTGGGGAAGGTTTTTCATAAACTATGCTAAACACGATGCCAAGGACACAGTAAGTGCTGAGAAACAGCAGCTGCTATTATTACTATCAATTTAAGAGTTATTGTTAAAGAAGTGAAACTGAACGCACTTAGGTGTGCGGTCAATGCCACCTAAGTGCGTTCCGGCTGGGTCCGCACGGAGACAGGCTGGGCAGGGCGGGGAGGGGCCACCGGAAGCCCCACCCCTTTCCTCGCGTCTGGTCGCCCGGGTAACGCGCCGCCGCATCGCCGCGTCGCAGCCGGAGTGACGTGTGGCCGCCGGCACCCGGAGCTCCTGGGCACACGGCATTGGCAGGGACCACTTCGGCAGAGTGATGACTGATGATGAGATCGAGAGCGTCCTCTCCGACTCCCATGAAGGGTCGGAGCAGGAGCTGCCTGTTATCCAGCTTTGCGGGCTGGTGGAGGAGCTCAGGTACCGCGGCCCGCGCCTGGGGGCAGCCCCTCTTCCTCCTGGGCCCTCCTCCCGGGGCGGCCTCGGACCTGGGGACTAGCATGGAGAAGATCCAAGCCCGCGCTGAGCACTGGGGAGACTTTGCCTCTGCTCCTGCGTCTCCACCACCACTGAACCAACAAGCTGTTGGTGGAGCTAGATCCGGGTGGTGGGGCGAGGGGGTGGGGCCGGTGGTGGGAAGCTCAGAGGGTAATTGGGGAAGTGAGAGTTTCAGCCGAATGAGTCTCTCTCGTGCCAGACGGTGTGCTTAGCCGATCCACAATTCTACAGAGGCAAGTTGGACCAGGTGACTTCTAAGTCCTTTTCTGATGCTAAGATTCTATGATAAGGCCGGGCACGGTGGCTCACGCCTGTAATCTCAGCACTTTAGGAGGCGAGGCGGGCCGATCACTTGAGGTCAGGAGTTCGAGACCAGCCTGGCCAGCATGGTGAAACCCCGTCTCTACTAAAGATACAAAAATTAGCCAGGCGTGGTGGCGCGTGCCTGTAATCCCAGCTACTCTGGAGGCTGAGGCAGGAGAATCACTTGAACTTGGGAGGCGGAGGTTGCAGTGAAGCGAGATTGTGCCACTGCACCCCAGCCTGGGCAACAGACAGAGAGAGACTAAGTCTCAAAAAAAAAAAAAAATCTGTGATAAAACTAACACGGCAGCAGAATAGAAACCTAGCTATTGAGATGGTTTTAGTACGAGGCAACGTGTGCCTGAACCTGGATATAAGCATGGAGATGGATAGTAAAGAATGACTGGCCCAGTAGTCTGTGTTTATTTTATTTTATTTTAGTTTTGCAGTCTACTTTATATCTACTACTATAGCAAGTAAATTGGATATCAAGATTCCATGATGTAGTTTAGTTGTACAACTTACTGGTCTTGCACAGAATATCCTAGCTCTAGCAGCTGCATAGATGTTACTTCTACACAGCTACAAATACTTTAGGTCAGAACTGAGGTATTATTACTAATAGTTCTCATTTTTGAGTGTTTCTATGTACCATGCATTTACATATATGATCTTATATGATGACACTGCAACCCTAGGAGGTGGGGGTAAGGAAACAAAGACACAGAGGTTAAGTCACTTCCCTAGGTTCACACAGTTAGTGGTAGTGCTGGGATTCAAACTCAGGTGTGACTCCACAGACTACACACACCTGGAGCATGATATATGCTGAAAAAGCAAGCTAGTTTGATAGATTGTGTTTTCCATTCAGCCTTTTCCACTAGTTTGTTTTGTTTGTTTTGTTTTGTTTTTGATATGGAATCTCACTTGCTCTGTCGCCCAGGCTGGAGTACAATGGCATGATCTTGGCTCACTGCAACCCCCGCCTCCTGGGTTCAAGTGATTCTTCTGCCTCAGCCCCCGAATAGCTGGGATTACAGGCTCCTGCCACCACACCCAGCTAATTTTTGTACTTTTAGTAGAGATGGGGTTTCACCATGTTGATCAGGCTGATCTCGAACTCCTGCCCTCAGGTGATCCACCTGCCTCAGCCTCCCAAAGTGCTGGGATTACAGGTGTGAGCCACCACGTCTAGCCCCACTAGTCTTAAAATTCAACCAAACAGGAATTATTAAAAGTAATAGCAAAAACTGCAGTTACTTTTGCGCCAATGTAATAGATCAATAACACATGAAAACATCAAAGTTGTTCTCTCTCTCTTATATATATATACATATATATATGTGTGTAACACACACACACATACACACATAAGAGAAGTTAAGAAATTAAAAAGGTTATAACCTTGGCATATACAGGATAAACTGGGTATGTTTTCTTTTCCTCTGTTCAAAGTTTTCCACAGTTTATGATAAACTTCTGGTTGATACTTTTCATCTATTGGGTGCTGGAAATAAAAGAACTGAAAAACATAAACCAAAGGAAACATCTGAAGATTGTGGGTGTGTGTAACTTCAATAATATAGTAATTCAGGATGGGCACAGTGACTACTATTGCCTGTAATCTCAGCACTTTGGGAAACCAAGGTGGGAGGATCACTTTAGGCCAGGAGTTGGCACCTAGCCTTGATAACATAGCAAGATACCACCTTTACAAAAAATTTTTTAAATTAGCCAGGCATGGCGTTGTGCACTTGTAGTCCTAGCTACTTGGGAGGCTGAGGCAGGAGGATTGCTTGATCCCAAGAGTTCAAGGTTACAGTGAGTGCAACAGAGTAAGACCCTGTCTCTTAAACAAATTTAAAAAATATGTATATATATAATATATAGTAATTCAGAAATAATTTCCCAAATGGGTTCAATGACACTTGAAACCTATGACAATTTTCAATGTAATACTAGTGTTCTGAATTTTATGGCTCATTAAACATATTAATAAAAATATCAAATATATAGCACTTACTATGTGTCAGGCACTGTCCCAGAGGCTTTGTCTTCCTTATTGGAACCCTAAAGTTCTATTCTTATACCCATTTTATAGGTGAGGAAACTAAGACACCAAGAGGTTAAGGGGTCTTGCAGGTCCACTAGTTATTAAACACTAGTTATTTGGGGTTTAAACTCTTATTACTAGAACTTACTCAGGTACCCTGTCTTGCAGCTACGTAAACTCTGCTCTCAGAACTGAGACTGAGATGTTTGAGAAATATTACGCTAAACTGGAGCCCAGGGATCAGCGACCTTCACGATTATCGGAAATTAAAATGTCAGCAGCAGATTATGCACAGGTACACAATGGAGATCTAGAACATTCTTTTATTGTTTGTCCCCTTAAATGCAAGTGGCATTTGTGTATCTGCCTTTGGTGTGCCCTCTATGGCCAATTGACCATGGGACCTTCTTCTCCCTGTTTTACTTTTGATTTTTCTTTGCCCTCTAGGGTTTCTCTTTCAAGTGACTACGAAAGAAATTGGGTTCAGTTAATAGTGGACTGACTCTCCCAGCATATCTTAGTTTACTTGAAAGAATTTCTTTTGGCTAGGTGCAGTGGCTCAGGCCTGTAATCCCAACGCTTTGGGAGACTAAGGTGGGAGGATCACATGAGACCAGGAGTTCGAGACCTGCCTGGGCAATATTTCTAGACCCCATCTTTACAAAAGAAAATTCTTAAATTAGCCAGATGTAGTGACATGCACCTGTAGTTTTAGCTACTTGGGAAGCTGAGGTGGGAGGATTACTTGAGCCCAGGAGTTTGAGGCTGCAGTGAGCTATGATCACACTGCTGCACTCCAGCCTGGGCAACAGAGCAAGACTCTGTCTCAAAAGAATTTAAAAAAAAAAAATCATTTAAATTAAGGGACTCAACTGTTTACAAGGCCCAGCCAGCCACCTAAATGAGGAAAGTAGGCCTGGCACAGGCCCTTGTCTCAAAGGGGTTATCTGTGGAGGCTTAGCCTTTGAGGGCCAAGCAAACCCATATGTACCCTGGACCACCCACTTCTGACCTTTGCCTTAAATGCATAGAAAGTCCAAGATGTTTGTTTGTCTGTTTTGCTGAACACAGTCCCCCACGGATGCAGTTTCTTTCCTGTGTTCAGCTCAGGAAGTACCTCTGAGCTTCCCCTGTCTTTGACTTGAATGCTAGTCTATAGCAGGTTCACAGCCTTTCCACCTCAAGACGTTTACCCTTATTTATTTTCACTTCATTGTCAAACGTAGGCCTTTGAAGTATTTAGTGCAGGGGCTTATGATGACTTGAGAAATAAATGTTAGCTCAGGCCTAATATCCAGCATCCTTTTACCGTGAATTTATTCTCCCCGGCTGTCACTCTGGGGAACTTCTAGCAGGTCAGAGGATCATTTCGATGCCTACCTTGGGCTGGTTCATTACTAATTCCTCTTTGACAATGGCTTTGTTTCTGTTGGGTTGCAGTTTCGAGGCAGGCGTAGATCCAAATCCCGAACAGGTGTGGACCGTGGGGTGGGCCTGACTGTCGACCAAAAACTTGAGCTGGTACAAAAGGAGCTTGAAGACACGAAGGATGACTTATGGCACATGAGGGCAAATGCGGAACGCGACATGCAGCATCACGAGGTACACCTTCCTCCCGGCGCAGCCTGTCCTGCCCAGGCTCCCCACCTCCACCCCATCAAGAGGTATCTAGAGTGGGTTCATGTGATTGTTGGGGCTTTAGAAGAAACACAAGTAGGATGAGGCGAATCCAGGGCCTATCTTCAAGGAACTTACCACCTGCTTGTGGGGACGACATATTTTTGAACGTTTTTTTTATGGGAAATTTCAAAAATACACAAATGTAGAGAGGCTAGCACAACAAACCCCTATGTACTCAACATCTGGGTGCAGTGATCATCAACATATGGCCTCTTTTGGTTGATCAACTTTCCCTTCATCTGGCTGGGTTACTAGGAAGTGAATCCTAGTGAATCTCTGTACATAGGTCAGTATGTATCTTTAATATATGAATTCTTTTAGAAGACATAACCACGATAACCCTAAATGCTCTTAAAATTTTACAATAATTTCTTTTCTTTTCTTTTTTTTTTTGAGATGGTGTCTTGCTCTATTGCCCAGGCTGGAGTACAGTGGTGCGATCTCGGCTCACTGCAAGCTCTGCCTTCTGGGTTCATGCCATTCTCCTGCCTCAGCCTCCTGAGTAGCTGGGACTACAGGCACCCGCCACCACGCCTGGCTAATTTTTTTGTATTTTTAGTAGAGAAGAGGTTTCATCTATTAGCCAGGATGATCTCGATCTCCTGACCTCGTGATCCTCCTGCCTTGGCCTCCCAAAGTGCTGGGATTACAGGTGTGAGCCACCATGCCCGGCCTACAGTAATTTCTTAATAATACAACAGGTTTGAGGTTTAAGTTAGTGTATTAGGGTTCTCGAGAGGGACAGAACCAAGAGCATATATGTATATATGAAAGGGAGTTAATTAGGGAGAATTGGCTCACGTGATTACAAGGCAAAGTCCCACACAATCGATCGGCTGTCTGAAGGCTGAGAAAAGAGAGAAGCCAGTAGTGGCTCAGTCCAAGTCTGAAAGCTTCAAAACCAGGGAAGCTAACAGTGCAATCTTTAGTCTGTGGCTGAAGGCCCTTCAGCCCCCAGGAAGCCGCTGGTACAAGTCCCAGGGTCTAAAGGCAAAGAACCTGGAGTCTGATGCCCAAGGGCAGGAGGAGCGGAAGGAATTGTCGGGCATGGGAAGAAGAGGGAGAGCCAGAAGTCTCAGTACACAAGCTTATCCACCTTCTTCCACCTGCTTTGCTCTAGCTGCTCTGGCAGCCAATTGGATGGTGCCCACCCATATTGAGGGTGGATCTTCCCCTCCCTGTCCACAGACTCAAATATCAATCTCTTCTGGCAACATCCTCACAGACACACCCAGAAACAATACTTTCCCAGCCATCTAGGCATCCCTGAATCCAGTCAAGTTGACACCTAATATTAACCGTCACAGTCAGTGAATTGAGTGAAAAGTCCCTAGGTCAGCATTTCTTTTTTTTTTTTCTTCTTTTTTTTTTTTTTTGAGATGGAGTCTTGCTCAGTCACCCAGGCTAGAGTGCAGTGGTGCAATCTCAGCTCACTGCAAGCTCTACCTCCCAGGTTCATGACATTCTCCTGCCTCAGCCTCGGATGGTCTCGATCTCCTGACCCCGTGATCCACCCGCCTCAGCCTCCCAAAGTGCTGGGATTACAGGCGTGAGCCATCGTGCCCGGCCCCTACGTCAGCATTTCTATACGGCACACGTACCCATGGTTCATGCCCTGTTACAGACTAACAGGGTCTCTTAGTGAGTCCAATACAGTCAATTTCCTCCAGAGAAGAAACATCACTGTTAATTCGGTTGCCCACAGGACAACGTTGTTGGCTTGTATTTGAGACCCATGTTGTATGAAAAATAGATACTTCTGTTCTATTTCTAAAGTTTTCTATTTTTCTGTTTCTAAATGTGGGCATTCACAGAATCACACTTGTCTCAAGAGGGACCGATCAGTAGACTCATGTCTCTCATGGATGCAACCATCTGTATACATCAACTGATCCCGCTCTCCCACCCCTCCTCTCTCTCTTTCCAAGTATGCATTGTTGAATTCTAGCAAGTTAAAGGAGGTTGGGATGTGGTAGCGTTATCCTGACCTGCTAGGTTGTGCAATGTAAGCATCAAGTGCAGAGACAGAGATCAGTATGGGCTAGAGTGGTCAAAAAGAATGTGTTGAGGAGGTAGGGCTTAAAAGGGACTTGGCATGATCTTGAAGAATGATGGCATCTGTTTAAGGCACAGGGAAAGAAAGGCACCCCAGGTAAAGAGAATGACATGGGCAAGGAAGTGGAGGTGGGCACAAGCATGGTGAGCTCATGACATTGAGGAGGCTGGTGTGATTAGAGAAGAGGCTACTTTGGAGGCTGCTTTAGGAAGTCAGGTTGAGTAAGGCAATGATTTCTTGAGAGCCATGCCAAGGAGTTTATCTTTGATGTCTTAGAAAGCTGGACCCCACTGAGGATACTTGAGTAGGAGAGCAATGTGTTGAAAGCAGTGTTTCCGGTGGATTGATGTTCTACCATGTGGAGATGATGGGGCTGGGAAGAGGCTGGAGCCTGAGGTCAGCCAGTGAAAATGCTTTTGCTTCTTGGTGCCCAGAGAAAAAGTCTGAACTAGGATGATTTGCAGTCTGGCTACAGATACCATTCCATTTTATTTTTTATAGTAAGGTGTGTGTGTGTAAATGTTTTCTTATTTCAAGGCAATCTATGTTGTAGAATGTTGAAAAATACAGTTAAGCTAAAAGAACATTTGAAAACATTCACAATTTACCACTCACAGGTAATTTCTGTTGACTTTCCATTTACCTCCTACAGTTTAGATAATTTTCTATGCATATATGAATTTCTTCTAAAAAATAGTATCATGTTATTTTGTAAACTGTATTTTTCACTTAACAACATCTCTTTATGTCAATACATATATTCATTTTATAACTTTTTTTTTTTTTTTTTTTTTTTAAAGAGATGGGGCCTCACTGCATTGCTCAGGCTGGGGTGCAGTGGCCATTCACAGTCACAATCATGGCACACTACAGCCTCAAACTTCTGGCCTCCAGCAATCCTCTTGCCTCAGCCTCCTAAGCAGCTGGGACTACGGGCACCATACCTGACTTTATAATATCTTCTTTATTTTTTTCCATTCTCCCCCCTCAAATACTCAGGCTTGGAAGTATAATGTCTTTTTTTTAAAGTAACAGAAATATAATAAGAGTGCCTCTTTATTTCCCCACTAATCCATCTCTGTAGATGTAACTGTGGTTCATGTTTTGATGTATATCCTTACAGATATTTTTAATGGATAAATAATCTCAAATATGGAAATACATATTTAGATAGATACCTTGGCCACGCATGGTGGCTCATGCCTGTCGTACCAGCACTTTGAGAGGCCGAGGTGGGCGGATCACCTGAGGTCAGGAGTTCAAGACCAGCCTGGCCAACTTGGTGAAACCCTTCTCTACTAAAAATACAAAAATTAGCTAAGAGACACCACCCACATGGTGGTGGGTGCCTGTAGTCCCAGCTACTCAGGAGGCCGAGGTAGGAGAATTGCTTGAACCCGGGAGGCGGAGGTTGCAGTGAGCTGAGATTGTGTCACTGCACTCCAACCTGGGCAACAGAGCGAGACTCTCAAAAAAAAAAAAAAAAAAAAGGCCAGGTGCGGTAGCTTAAGCCTGTAATCCCAGCAATTTGGGAGGCCGAGGCAGGCGGATCACAAAGTCAGGAGATCATGACCATGCTGGCTAACACGGTGAAACCCCATCTCCACTAAAAATACAAAAATTTAGCCGGGCGTGGTGGCGGGCACCTATAGTCCCAGCTACTCGGGAGGCTGAGGCAGGAGAATGGCGTGAACCCGGGAGGCGGGGGTCGCAGTGAGCCGAGATTGTGCCACTGCACTCCAGCCTGGGCGACAGAGCAAGACTCCATTTAAAAAAAAAAAAAAAGATAGATACCTGACATCTGTTTTTGTTTGCTCTCTTTTTATGGATTCTATTTTTCAAAGAATGCTTTTAACTAATAACATTGAATAGTCAAGTTTGTATCTTAAGGATATGTTCCTAAGACTAAGAAGAAACATATTTTGGGACACAAAGAGGCCTGGGAACTTAGGTTTTCTTAGAGGACACATCCTTGAAGATTGCTGGGAACATTCTTCTCTCTTTGTGCTGATCCCCCAGGCGATCATTGAGGAGGCTGAAATTCGATGGAATGAAGTTGCGAGAGCAGTGCATGAGTTTGAAAAAGATATTCTAAAAGCCATATCCAAGAAGAAAGGGAGTATTTTGGCCACTCAGAAAGTGATGAAATACATAGAGGACACGAACCGCCGGAGGGTGAGTTGGCAGACGGAGCTTAAAAAGGGAAAAAACATTCTTGCAGGGATGTTATAGAAATCATCCATGTGAAGCAGCCTAGCTCCATTTGGTCTACCATAAATGTTGCCCACATATGCAGATTTTCTTTGCATCCCTGAAAGTGTATGTGTATATGCATGTTTTAAAATGTATGTTTATGGCTGGGCGCAGTGGCTCACGCCTGTAATCCCAGCACTTTGGGAGGCTGAGGCAGGCGGATCATCGGAGCTGGAGGACCAGCCTGGCCAACATGGTGAAACCCTATATGTACCAGAAATACAAAAATTAGCTGGGTGAGGTGGTGTGCGCCTGTAATCTCAGCTGCTTGAGAGGCTGAGGCAGGAGAATTGCTTGAACCTGGGAAGCGGAGGTTGCAGTGAGCCGAGATCACACCACTGCACTCTAGCCTGGGCAACAGAGCAAGACTCCATCTCAGAAAAAATAAATAAATGAATGAATGAATGAATGAATGCATGCATGTTTATCAAGGTTAACACCAGCCAGGCAGGATGTATACTAACAGTACCTCAGATTGATTTCTGTTTTTTGTTTTGTTATTTGCTTCAAGATCTGTTATCTTTTCTTGAGAAAGGTATGAGACTGGTCTGGTCCAGCCTGTCTAGAGAGATGACTGTGGAGTAGGACAGGTAAATCTCTTCTTCAAATTTTTTAAAAAAACCTTTTAAAAAATTGTTATAGAGATGGGGTCTCACTGTGTTGCCCAGGCTGGTCTTGAACTCTTGGGCTCCAGCAGTCCACCCGCCTTGGCCTCCCAAAGTGCTGGGATTACAGGTGAATCTAAAGCTCTTTGAGATCCTTTGTTATCAGGAGACAGACCTTGGGCTGTTATGAGAAAAAAGGAGAATTTAGGGGGTAACCTTCATTTCCAGAGATTTTACAATATGTCAAGCTTTAGATCCTGGAGACAAGGTAGGGTTACTAACCCTAACATGTTAAGAGTAATAAAAATTATGTAAACTACCATGGGAATACAACACCAAAAATCATAAGATCATTTTGTCAGGAAAGACCCCTACAGTAGCATACACCCAAATAATCTTGATTTTGAAAGCAATGTAAAATTTGCATGTTGCAAAACCAATGTCCTCTGCTTCTTGGTCATGAAATATACCAGCCCCAGCTTAAGTAGAAGTAAAACGACCTAAAATAAGTGACAGAATGTTAGGGCTCAAGGTTTGGTTTGCAGCCCCAGAACCATCCACTTTTCAAACCAATGGGAAAAAGGAGAGAAATAGATTAAATGCATTAAAATATGCCTTTATGTTTTAGGATAATATGAAGGAGAAATTGCGTTTGAAAAATGTTTCTCTCAAAGTTCAGAGGAAAAAACTGCTTTCACAATTGAGGCAGGTATGTGGTCCTTTCTCTCTCTCTTTCTTTTTAAGGTTACCATGGTAGGCTGAATAAGGTTCCCACCCCCACCCCAAAATGTCCATATCCTAATCCCTGGAATCTGTGAATACATTAACTTACATGGCAAAAAGGATTTTGCAGATGTGATTAATTTAGGATCTTGAGATGGGGAGACGGTCTTGAATTACCTGGGTGGGCCCTATATAATCTCCCTCCTTATCAGTGGGAAGCAGGAGGGTGGGAGAAGGTATGATAACAGAAGCAGAGATCAGAGTGATGAGCTTTCATGCTAGGGAGAAGGGGCCAGGAATCAAGGACTGCAGACAGCCTCTAGAAGCTGGAAATGACAAGGAAACAGATTCTCCCCTAGAGCCTTGGGAAGAAATGCAGCCCTGCTGAGATCCTGATTTGAGCCTCCCAACCCATTTCAGACTCCTGACCTCCAGAACTATAAGATAATAAATTTGTATGAAAGCCACCAGGTTTGTGGTGATTTGTTACAGCAGCAATAGGAAACTCATATGATGACTGTGCAGGCAAATCAGAGGTTTTCTGTAGACAGAGTTGGCGTGAATTTAAAAGACCCTCAAGATATACTTGTTGGCCCTTTCTGGGAAAATGGCCTGGTGGCACAGTTATATGTGCTTTGATGTGTCTAGCGTCGCCACCAGCTGACCCTAATGGCTCCTGATGAAAAGCAGTAAGGCAAACATGGTTCCGTCCTTTCCTTGCTCAATATTTTTATTATTAACTTGAATTTGGACACTGGTGGCATGCTCATCAAAGGGGGCTACTGACAAGGACACAAAACTGGGCAGGAGAATTAACACGTTGGGCCACTATTGCTTGAGTGACTTGGGATCCAGAAAGACCTCAGCAAGCTGGGACAGATTTAACAGCATGAAGTGATGAAGGACAAGTGTAACACCCTACACTTTTGATCCCCCAAAATACCTGATCAGGTACAGGTTGGCTTAGCCATAGAGTACCTGATAAAGTCAGCTCAGCTGGTGGTGATGCTATGGCGTAGGCTGCACTTATAGAAACACAGTGCCCAGAACAAGGAAGGGGTAGACTTTCTCTGCTGTGTCTGAGCGGCCCCTACCTGGAGTGTCATGTCACAGGGTAAGCCCTACCCTTGGAAGAATTGGCAAACTAGAGTTCACATCGGAGAGCAAGCCAGATGTCGGGAATAGAAACCATATCCAAGAGCCTGGGACTGATGTGCCCAAGGAGAGAGGGCCCAGGAGGGCCACAGCCATGTCTCGAAGTGCTCAGGGTTGCAGCAGGAAGGAAGAGCAGAGCTGGGGCTGTGGATGGAGGTGTCAGGGAAGGAGATTTGAGTTCAGTGCAAGAAAAGATTCTGCAGTGAGTGATCCCAGTGGAGCTGTCTGCAGATCATCAGTTCCTGGTACTTGGAGGTTCATGCAAGCACCGGCATCTTGAAGAGGGGCTTTAAGCTGGAGATAGGGAGTAGATGGATGATCTTTAACCTTAATGCTGCTGCTACACAGAGATAACACAGACACGGGCCCTGCCCTTGTGAACTCCTAGACTAGTGGGCAGCAGTGTTGTGAGAAAAGGTGTGTATGTGTAATTGTATACAGAAGCTATATACCAAAGACTGGCCGGGCGCAGTGGCTCACACCTGTAATCCTAGCACTTTGGGAGGCCGAGGTGGGTGGATCACGAGGTCAGGAGATTGAGACCATCCTGGCTAACACAGTGAAACCCTGTCTCTACTAAAAATATAAAAAAATTAGCTGGACATGGTGGCGGGCGCCTGTAGTCCCAGCTACTCGGGAGGCTGAGGCAGGAGAATGGCGTGAACCCGAGAGGCGGAGCTTGCAGTGAGCTGAGATTGCACCACTGCACTCCGGCCTCGGTGACAGAGCGAGACTCCATCTCAAAAAAAAAAAAAAAAAAAAAAAAAAGAAGCTACATACCAAGGATCACAGAGCTAAAGCTTCCAGAGGCTCAGCAGAGAGAGGGATCCCCCTCCGGTGTGGAAAACAGGTTGGGAGCATTGGAGCTGGAGGAATGGTTGTACTGGGGCTTAAGGAAGTTGTGTTGTTTTGGGAAGGGGAAGAAGATGAATCCCAGGAGATAGGACAGACAGCATGAGTGAGGTGTGGGAGTGAGGAACAGCAGTTCCCAAGTTGGTCTGTTGTCTGCCACAGATATAAAGTGGCATAGACCTGGCAGGGCTGGTAAGGTGGGCCAGGACAGGGAGGGAACCTTATACACTCGGGCACTGCAGTGCAGAAATATCAGATGATCAAAGTAGGGGGAATCTATGGGCTGCTTGTCCTGGGTTTTTAATGTTAAAAACAACTTTTAAATGGCCTGATTCTTTCTCTTCCTTCATGGCCCTGTTAGGCACCACCCACTGTGGGTTGTCCTCTGTGCGTGACTCAGTCTTTCATCCTCCCCTGGCCTGGCTTAGCGACTTCTGTGTGCCCTCTGCCCCCACTCCCCCACATTCCCCCCGAATAACACATCCCACTGCACCACACTGTTGAGTCAATGGCTTGTCTGTAAACCCTCATATGCACTGCCTGGAGCCAGGGAACATTGTATTTACTTAAATCTCTATTCCCAGTGCCTAACACCACACCTGGGACCAAACTGATGCCCAATATGTGTTTGTTGAATGACTGAATGATGACTGACCTCCAAAGTCTTATCAAGAGTTGCAAGATGTGAGCCATACATTCAGAATCACAGCTGATGTATCATCTTTTCTTTCATCTTTTTGAGCTGTAGAAAGAAGAGGTGGGTGAGGCCCTTCATGATGTTGATTTTCAGCAGTTGAAGATAGAGAACGCTCAATTTCTCGAAACAATTGAAGCAAGGAATCAAGAACTGACCCAGCTAAAGCTCTCATCTGGAAATACTCTGCAGGTCCTCAATGCCTACAAAGTAAGGCCATCCCTGATGCCTAAGGCTCCCCCAAGGCTTTCCATACTCACCTTTCTGGCCACAGGGAGGTTCTTGTGCACTCCAGTTTCACACAGCGCTTAGGTGCCCCCTCACTGTCAAGCCATGTGTCCTGAAATTTCCTGAATGTTCCCATAACCCTGGCTGTGTGTGAGAACCAGGGTTTTTCTTTAAAAAGAAAAAAAAAAATAGATAGATAGATGATAGGTAGGTAGATAGATGGATGGATGGATAGATAGATAGATAGATAGATAGATAGATAGATAGATAGATAGATGACTAGTCCCACTCTGACTAATTGAATTAGGAGGTGAGGGCCATGCATCTTGTTTATTTTGTTTTCTTTTTTATTGTTGTTGTTAATTCCCCAAGTGATTTTTATGGATGATGAGTTTTGAGAACTAACCACATTTAGAGCCCTGTTTAATTTGAGCACATTATAAGCACTTTCCTGCTTAAAACCCTGCAAAGGAAAGCAGTCTTAGCTATAGATCAGAAAACTACTAAATAATTTATCATCCAAACAGAACCCTTTTGGGAGGGAAAAGAGGCACTATTAATAATTAGGCAGAGACTATAGGCACACAAAGGGCCTGGCCCCAACAGACGAGGCCATCTGGTCACCCTGCTAGAGACCATCTAATGTAGTATTCAGCAACTACAGGCCAGTGTATCCCCACCCACTGCCCTGTGAGCTAAGAATGATATTACAGAAGAACCTTTATAACCAATTTGATTATAGAAAACACTAACTGGAAACCAAATGAAGCAACATTGGTTTCTTCCCTAGAAATTCCATTTCTTTCATTAGTGGACCTATATTCTAAAATATTGTACTTAATTATTATATCTTGAATTGAATCGATAAAACGTTGGTAGGATTTTTTTCTCTTGTTAATATAAGTACACAATACCCACAATTTTGCTTCTGGGCTTGCAAAACCTAAAATATTTACTATGTGGTCCCTTACAGAAAAGTTTTGCTGACCCCTCGCATAGTGCCCAGGTGATATCGGTGGCTATGAGCTTAGGTAGCTCGCAGGTGGGCTTTGTTTGGTCCACACAGTTTAAAAATGTGAATGTGAATGCGTTTAGGCCAGGTTTACGTTTGTTCAACATTTTCCTTTTACAAATGAAAAAACCGAGGGTCAAAGATGCAGAGGAGACAGGGAGCAGTGGCTCACACCGGCAATCCCAGCACTTTGGGAGGCCTAGGTGGGCAGATCACCTGAGGCCAGGAGTTCAAGACCAGCCTGGCCAACATGGCAAAACCCCGTCTCTACTAAAAATACAAAAAATTATCTGGGCGTAGTGGTCCACACCTGTAATCTCAGCTACTTGTGAGGCTGAGGCACAAGGATTGCTTGAACCCCCAGGGGCAGAGGTTGCAGTGAGCTGAGATCATGCCACTGTACTCCAGCCTGGGCAACAGAGCAAGACTCTGTCTCAAAAAAAAAAAAAAAAAAAAATGCAGAGTATTTGCCAAATTCAAGCAACAAGTTACTGATAGAGGTGGGACTCCCGGTCCAGTATACATCCCACCTAACTCAGTGTGTATCCCACCCGACTGCCTTTTCCAGCATGTAGAAAACAGTGTGCTGGCATTCTGAAATTTATGTGTCATAAACATCCAACAGATCCTCTACTTTTAGCTTCTCTCATCAGTTTTTAGCTTATCTGATTACTGTTATTTATAGAGGAAGCCAATTCCTGTGACTCCCAGGCCCTCGTTGCCTAGAGAGTGGGTTGTACTTGCTTAGATCACACTGGACCTCGATCTTATCCCATGGAATCAGTTAAGTAGCACAGGGCCTGCCTGGTCTTGTGGGGGAAAAGCCAAGGGTTTTGGAAATGGAACTACTGATTTTTAAAATCAAACTGCCAGGTTGCAGGGCCTGACCTCTTTCGGATGGGTCTAAACACACAGTGCAGATTGCTTGCAGTACCTGAGATCAGCAGCACAGGCCACCATGGGCAGAGTGAGAGCCATTCCTGGGGGAAATGGAGGCAGAACAACTGAGTTGTGGAGTCAGACCTTGCCTGTGCTTGAATGTTCTGCTGGGGGAGGTGCTTCATCTAGGCTAGATTCTTCACTTCTTGGAAGCAAGTTTTGTGTCACCAGGATGGTGCTCTCTCTAGTATGTGTTGTGTCCCCAGCATCAAGGATGGTGCCTGGCCAAAGCAGGTGCTTGGCCAATATTGCTGAATGAACTGCTTGCAGAACAGGTGTGTATTTGGTAGGCGTGGGAGGGTGACAGGAGGGGCCACTTTGATGTAAATATGAAACATTCATTCTCCCAGCAATCAGAAAATGAAAATAAAGAAACAAATATCAAACACCCAAGTGTGAAACCTTGTTAAAGACATGCAGAATAATTTTCCTCTATACTAAAAGTACCAATACCTTCAGTAGGGTAGGCACCAGGCTAAGTGCTAAGGGTACAGCATTGAGACAGCACCAGGCAGAAATGGGCTCTTCTCTTCTGTGAGTTTCATGTGTGAGCCTGAGTCAAGGTGGCAGCTTTTTCTCTGATTTTATGCCCTCAAGCCCTGCCTGGTGGAGTTTGGTAAAATGTAAGTATGTGACTACAGCTGTGATGAGTCACTCCAGACTGCCTGTAAACTAGTGATCTGGGGCCTTGTAGGTAGAATTCTAAGATGTCCCCAAGACTCCCCAGCCCCTGATATCTACACCCTGTATAATCTCCGGCCAGGGCTGTGAATATGGTTTCGGTTAAGTTCTGTTCTGTTCTATGATTCAGTTATACTGTATGGCACAGTTGACTAAAGACAGGGAGATCACCCACTTGGCCTGACCTAATCACACGAGTCCTTTGAAAGAACAGTTTCTCTGGAAGAGGAAGTCATAGATATGAACCATGAGGAGAAATGGCTGGAGGAGGTCTTCTCCATTGTGGGCTTGAAGACAGAGGGGCCACATGGAAGGGATTCAAGAGGGACCTCTGGAAGCTGAGAGCGACCTCCTGCTGACAGCCCAAAAGAAAACAAGGGCCTTGGTCCTATAGCTTCAAGGAAGTACCTTCTGCCAGCAATAAGGGAGCTTGGAAGTACCTTCTGCCAGCAATAAGGGACCCTGAGCCCTTGACAAGAACCACAGCCCTGGCGGACACCTTGATTTCAGCCGGATGTGACCGTGCGGGAGAATCCAGCCACACTGTGTGCAGACTTCTGGCCTATGGAAGCTGTGAGATAATAAATGGGTGTGGCTCTAAGCCACAAAAGTCTGTGGTAATTTGCTCCATAGCAATAGAAAGTGAATGCAATCCTTTTCAGAAGTGGTCTCCTCAAGGGACCCACATCTTGACTCAGCATCACCAATGCAGCTTTCATCAGCCTTCGTGGAGACTGCCCTGGCAGAGCCAGTGATGGCCTCGCTGCTACTGTTGTACCTCCATTCCTTCCTGCCCTGCCGCTCTAAGTTGGTGACCACTTGTCTTCCCTCCACTCTCCTTCCTCCCTCCTGAATTGCTGGATTTGCAGCAAAGTCCTGCCCCATCTCCCTGGCCCCACACCTCACCCTGTCAGTCTGGTCTCATTCACTTTTGCTTTCGTTAGCAGAGCAATTCTCAGGCAGGACATGGAACAGGGAATGAGCCTTAAGAAGTGAGGCCTGAAAATAGGAGTGGGGAAGAGAATGGCCCCTGGGTGCCAGAAGGTCCCCCAGGCAGGTGGTTCTAGTCTTCTCTGTTTTGACACCCGGGGGCAATGCCCTTGCCCCCTCCTCCTGCCTTTACTTTGACTGTGGCCCTGCCGCTCTCTACCCACTCTCCCAGCTCCTATTAGATCCTCCTCTCCTTGGCTCTTTCGTTAGCTTGGAATGTTCTCTTCTGTCTTCACCTAGACATACTGACTCAACCTTTCAGCTCTCTTTCCAGCATATATTTGTATAATATAAGACTCGGGAAGGGGAACATCACACACCAGGGCCTATCATGGGGAGGGGGGAGGGGGGAGGGATTGCATTGGGAGTTATACCTGATGTAAATGACGAGTTGATGGGTGCAGCACACCAACATGGCACAAGTATACATATGTAACAAACCTGCCCGTTATGCACATGTACCCTACAACTTAAAGTATAATAATAATAAATAAATTTAAAAAATAAAATAAATAATATATAATATATATTTTATATATATATATATATATATATATATTTTTTTTTTTTTTTTTTTTCTCAGGAAAACCTTCTCCAACCCTGTCCTGGCATTCTCATAGCTTGGCACAATTGCAGTCTTACATTTCTTGCAATTATTTTACTGCCTTTCCCCTACTGTCCGGGCTGTGAGCCAGCCTTCTGGTGGCAGAGCCTAGTTTACTTCACTGGCCAGTGCGTGGTGCAGGGACTGGCGCCTGGTGGGTGGGTTTTCAGGATTTGTTGAGTGAGCTCCCCCAAATCACTACGTCTTTCCCTTGGTCCACTCCTCTGCCCAGCAAAGCACATCCCAGCGCCTCTGGCTGACTCTTCCCCACTGAGAGAGAGTGGTCAAAAGGTGACCAATCTAAGAAGCAGGGGTGGGGCCTGCAGGAGCCGGTGAAGGGCAATGATGCCGTGGGAATCTGCAAGGCTGTGCTTCTGCAGGACTCCTCTAAAACTAGCAGGCCCGGCCTCATTAGGTGATGAGATGGTGGTGGAGCCTGTGGGCTGTGGGATCTCACTGTATGGGCTCAATTCCCGGCTCCCCCTGGTCTCTGTGTCCTTGGGGAAATGGTTTTACCTCCCTAAGGGTCAGTTCTCTCACCTATAAATGGAGATAGCAGTAGCACCCACCTTATGAGGAGTATTCCCCACTCTCCATCCACATGAGATAGTCACGGCAGCTGTTTGTTGAATGTTCTCCATGTGCCTCAGCACTCTGCCAGGCTGTCTCCTGTACGCCTCTCCACAACCCTACATGGTGACTGGACCCAAGTTTAGAAAGGTTCTGGGACCTCCCCAAAGATCTCCTTAGTGAGTAGTAGGGCAGGATTTAGGTCCCCGTGTGCCTTACTTCTTTGCCTGTCCAGCTGAGGACAAGACTCCAAGGTCCCCTCCTACCGCACCAGTTCTCAGACATCAGGATTTGGAAAATCTGGGCAACAGTGAGAAAGGCAATTTGGACTTTCTGGATGGTCCTGCTTTTCTGTTCGTTAACAAAGAGCTGTCTCCCCTTCCTGCGGTTCTGAGAGGTCATCTTAGCTCAAGACTTACTGTGTTGTTATATTTCAGAGCAAGCTTCACAAGGCAATGGAAATATACATCAATCTGGACAAGGAGATCTTGCTGAGAAAAGAGCTACTTGACAAAATTGAAAAAGAAACACTACAAGTAGAGGAGGTAGGAGAGGGCAAAATGTGGTATTTCTGGTATTTGTCTCCTTGTGTTTATAAGGGCTTGAGTTAAGGTCCACCAAGATCTAAGCCACCTTGCTGGTTTATCTAGAAAAGCCTAGACCATAAAAATCAAAATAGCTCTGGGCCATCAAAGCACAAAGTGGCACCTGGAGACCTACAGTCCAAGTGTGTCGCATTTTACTGCTGGGTTGGGTTCTAGAGTCACCTCAGAAAACAAAAATTTCATAGAGTCCAAATAACATTTGGGAATTCCTTAAGTGACCCATAAAGTACAATATTCAAAGTTTCGTGTCTACAACCCCAGGAAAAATGTTTAATGCATGTAGTAATGTACCTGATAGGAAAAAAAGTACACATGCCAAAATAGAATGTTTGATGTAAAGGAGAGACAGAGAGAGGAAAGAGAGAGAGAAAGAGAGAGAGAGAGAGAAACAGAGAGAGAGAGAGAGGTCATAACCATATGACATCTTGCCTGATACCCGGGCTAGACACTCACAACCTGAGTAGCCTGTAGCAGAGACCACTGAAGGACAGCAGACCTGTGACCTCTGTCCTGGGCTCACTCCAAGGCCTGTGGTCACTGTGCGAAGAGGTGAATGGAGTCATCTGAGCTCCCTGCCTATCTAAATTGCAATTTACCTCTCTCATTACTTTGCTGAGCATTGATAGCTGAATTTCCCTAACTTAAATGCACATAGGATGTGATGCAAAGATAACTTTTTGGGGCGCAGGAGAAAGAGTGCTGGACTCGTGATCAGAAGGCCTGGCATGAGGTTTGGTGCTGCCAATTTCTAGTCTTGAACAAGTTTTTAAATAGGACTGTTTCCATGTCTGTGAAATAGATCTACTGTCCTTATTGTAGTGGCTAGAGAGGACCACATATAATGACGCTTTGTTAACCTCTAAAACTGTATGATTATTAGTGTCATTGTCTTGTGTGGCCCCAAATTTGCCTACAGTGGCCCCAAAGCCACAGGATTATTCACATCTAAGTTACGTCACAGCATGCACATCATTTTCTCGATGGAGAACCAACACCTTCCGCAAAAAAACCCCAGTCTCAGTACAGAGTGGCAAGAAGCAAAGTTAAAGCAAAAACCTGTGAACTCTGTTAATGCAGAATTGCTGTGGTCCTTATTTATTTTTTCCTTGGGTTAATAGTTATTAGATTAAAAGTAAAACTTAAAATTGATTTTTTTTAAAGCCGGGAATTCACTGCTTAGTATATTTTAGTTTTCTTGTTAATGTTTTGAAAATAGCTTTATTGGAATTTAATTTATATACCATATAATCACCCATTTAAAGTGTATAGTTCAGTGTATTATAATATATTCACAGAGTTGTGTAACCATCATCACAATAATTTTAGAACATTTTCATCACCCCAGGAAAAAACCCTGCACCCATTAGACCTCCTTCCCCATAGGACAGGTGCAGTGGCTCACCCTGTAATCCCAGCACTTTGGGAGGCTGAGGTGGGCAGATCATTTGAGGTCAGGAGTTCAAGACCAGCCTGGCCAACATGGTGAAACCCAGCCTCTACTAAAAATACAAAAATTAGCTGGGTATGGTGGTGGGCACCACATCTGTAGTCCCATCTGCTTGGGAGGCTGAGGCAGAAGAATCGCTTGAGCCCACGAGGTGGAGGTTGCAGTGAGCCAAGATTGTGCCATTGCACTCCAACCTGGGTGACAGAGGGAGACTCCATCTCAAAACAAAACAAAACAAAAATCTACTTAAGTACATTTATTTATAAAAAGAAAGAAAGAAAAGAAAAGATCCTTCTCCATTCCCCACACCCCACTCTCACCCTCCGGCTCTTAGCGGCCACTAATCTACTTTATGCCTCTGTGGATTTGCCTATTCTGGACATTTCATTTAAAAGAGATTATACAATATGTGGTCTTTTATGAGTGGCTTTTTTCACTTGGAATAACATTTTCAAGGTACACTTGTATCATGTATCATTTGTTTATTTTTATGGCTGAATAGCATTTCATTGTGTGGACAGACCACATTTTATGTATCCATTCATCACTCGGTGGATATTTGGGTTTCCACTTCAGGACTATCATGAGTCATTCTGATATGAACATCCTGGCACAAGTTTTTCTGTGGATACGTGTTTTCTTTTCTTTTGACGTGTTTTCTTTTCTCTTGGATATATACCTAGAAGTGGAATTGTGGGTTATACATGGTAATTCCATGTCTAACACCTAGAAAAACTAGCAATCTGTTTTTGAAAGTGGCAGCCCCATTTCATATTCCCACAATGTGTGAGGGTTCCAGTTTCCGTACATCTTTGTTATTCTCAGTTTTTTTAAAAAATGGCCATCCTACTTGGTATGAAGTGATATCTCGTTGTGGTTTTTATTTGAATTTTCTAATGACATGGAGCATCTTATCATGTGCTTATTGGCCACTTGTCTTTCTTTGAGAAATGTCTAGTCAAGTCCTTTGCTTAGTTGGGTTATTTATCTTTTTAACTTACCCATTGTAAGTTGAAAATATCATAAGTTAAAAATGCATTTAACATACCTGACCTACTAAACATTATAGCTTAGCCTAGCCTATCTTAAATATGCTCAGAACACTTACATTAGCCTACAACTGGGCAAAATCATCGAACACAAAGTCTGTTTTATAATAGGGTGTTGAATGTCTCATGTAATTTATCGAATACTGTACTGAAAGTGAAAAATGGGTTATGTCGGTACTCGAAGTATGGTTTCTACTGAATGTGTGTTGCTTTAGCACTATCTTAAAGTAAAAAAAAAAAACAACTTAAGTTGACCCATTGTAAGTCAAGGATCATCTGTATAAGATTCACAAATATTTTCTCCCATACTGTGGATTTTCTTTCACTTTCTTGATAGTTTTGTCTGCAACACAAACATTTTTAGTTTTGGTAGAAGTCCAATTTATCCATTTGTTTTCTTTTGATCTTGTGCTTTTGGTGTTATATATAAGAAATGATTGCCTTACCCAATATCATGAAGATTTTCTCCTCTGTCTTCTTTTAAGAGTTTTATAATTTTAGCTCTTATGTTTAGGTTTATAATCGATTTTGAGTTAATTTTTTTAAATGGTGTGAGCGAGGAGTTCAAAAGCTGAAAGAAGAAAGGAGATGAAATATGTTCACAGAGTTTGTCATATTAACCTTTTTATTTACATTTCTTCCTGTGAATTTGAGTTACTATCTGATGTTTCTTACGTAAATACAGCTTTGTTTCAACCTGCCTCCTTTGTGCTGTTACTGTCAAATACACTCGATGATTACATGTTATAGTTCCCCAAATACAATTATATATGTATTTTTATATACTTGCTTTTTAAATCAGTTAAGAGGAGAAATATGCAATTATACTGTCTTTTATAATTACCTATTATACAGTTAATTTTATTTGCACTACTTTTTTAATGTCGATTTCATATTCCTGTAGGGTATCACTTGTTTTCAGCTTGAAGAACTTCCTATAGTATTTCTTGTAAGGCAGGTCTGCCAACCATGACTTCTGTAGGTTTTTGTTAATCTGGGAATGTCTTTATTTTTCCTTTATTTTTCAAAAATAAAATTTTATTTTAGAAGTTTTAGATTTACAGGAAAATTGTGAAGATAGCACAGAGAACCGCCATACACCTCATACCCAGTTTCCCCTATTTTAAACTCTTATATCAGTAAAATGTGTTTATTACAATTAATGAACTGGTATTGATACAGTATTATTAATCAAAGTCTATGCTTTTGTCACATTTCCTTAGTTCTTACCTAACGTCCCTTAACTGTTCCAGAATCCCACCCAGGATATCCACATTACATTTACTGCTATGTCTCCTTAAGCTCCTCTTGGCTGAGACAGTTTCTCAGAATTTCCTTGATGTTGATGACCTTGACAATTTTGAGGAGTACTTGTCAGGTTTTTGTAGAATGTTCCTCCACTGGGATTTGTTTTTCTCATGATTACATTGGGGTTTATGTGTTTTGAGGGGGAAGACCACAGACGTAAAGTGCCATTCATATCACATCATATCAAAGGAGTCTACTATCAACATGACTCATCATTGATGTGAACCTTGATCACATAGATGGATAGTATGTTACGGATTTCTTCACTGTGAAGTTACTCTCCCTCCTTTCCATACTGTACTCTTCGAAAGGAAGTCACTATGTACGGCCCATACTTAAGGAGTGGGGATTTGTGCTCCACATAATTTATTTGGAATTCTTCTGTATAGGAGATTTATCTATTCTCCCCCATTTATTTATTTTTAACATCATTTATTTATATCAGTTTCAATTCATAGATACTTGTTTTATATGTTGGGTTATAATATCATAAGCCATGCATTGTTTAATGATGGGGATACATTCTGAGAAATGCATTGTTAGGCAATTTCATCATTGTGTGAACATTATAGAGTGTACTCTATGATGGTATACCTAGATAGTATAGCCTACTACACACCTAGGCTGTATTGTGTAGCCTGTTGCTCCAGGCTATAACCCTGAAAAATATGTTATTATACTAAATGCTGTAGGAAATTATAATACAATGCTAAGTATTTGTGTATCCAAACATATCTAAACATAGAAAAGGTACAGTAAAGATATAGCATTATAATCTTATGGGACCATCTTCATAAGTGATTCATTGTTGACCAAAATGTTTTATGTGGCATGTGACTGTATTACATTATTTATTTTGTTGCTCAGATTGTTCCAGGTTGGCCATTGGGAGCTCTTTCAGTTGAATTTGGTGTCCCTTTGACTCTCTTCATCTTTATGGCCTTTTTTTTTTTTTTTTGAGCACTTCCTTTCTGGCACCAGAAGATGTTCTAGGTTCATCTTAGATATTTTCTGCCTCAGTCCTAGAATCCACCATTTCTCCAAGGAGGCTTGGTGTCTTTTATTTGAAAATGACATTAGAAACCAAGATCTGAGTGTGTTGATTGCTTGCTTTCATTTTGAAAGATCATTTTGAG